TCCGGGGCAGAGAGTTCCACTGCTGAACAGCTCTCACAGTCAGGAAGTTCTTCCTAACCTGAAGCTTAAGTGGCTGAGGGGTAAAAGGAAGGGGCCTGAGGCTGTTAGAAGTTGTAGGAGTTGAAGTCCAAAACACCTAAAGCTTAAATGCCTGAGAAGGAAAAATGAAAGGGACCCAGGCTGTTAGGAATTGTGGGAGATGAAGTCCAAAACACCTGACGCTTGAGCGGCTGAGGGGGAAAAGGAAGGAGCCTGAAGCTGTTAGGAATTGTGGGAGATGAAGTCCAAAACACCTGAAGCTAGAGTGGCTGAGGGGGCAGCTCACACAGTCAGGAAGTTCTTCCTCATGTTAAGATGGAATCTCCTTTCTTGTAGTTTGAGATATTGAGATGTGGGATTTCCTGCCTTGATCTTCTGGGTTATATGGCTGTGTGGAAGCGCCTTCCAAGAGCCTCCACCACACTCCGGGGCAGAGAGTTCCACTGCTGAACAGCTCACACAGTCAGGAAGTTCTTCCTAACCTGAAGCTTAAGCGGCTGAGGGGGAAAAGGAAGGAGTTGTGGGAGTTGAAGTCCAAAATACCTGAAGCTTAATTATTATTATTATTATTATGGTTATTATTCTAGGCCAGGCTTGTGCCCACTTGAGCCTTCCCTTCAGGGGTTTTGGACTTCAACTCCCAGCATTCCTAACAGCCTCAGGCCCCTTCCTTTTCCCCCTCAGCCGCTTGCTGAGGGGGAAAAGGAAGGGGCCTGAGGCTGTTAGGAATGCTGGGAGTTGAAGTCCAAAACCCCTGAAGGGAAGGCCCAAGTAGGCCCAGACCTGGTCTAGATTAACAACATTCTCCTCAGACACTGATAGGAATACTTTGGATGGCATAGGCCGAGGCCTGCTCTGGAAGTTCTCCCTCTTGTTCCTCCGAAGCCTGGCTCACCGCTCCCTCCGGGATCCTCTCCCCGCGCCTCCTCCTCCGTCCCTCTCCTCCTCCGCCGCCGCTTCCGCCTCTCCCTCTGGGCGCTGCTCCTGCTGTGGCTCCGAGGCCCAGTCGGCGTCGGAGGAGAGCCGGGCCCGCTTGGTGTTATTGGCGGCCTGCTCCTCCTTCTCGCGGCGCTTCTGGGCGGCCAGGAGGTCGAGGCCTAGCAGCGAGGCCCTCGGCGCCGGGACCTTGAAGACGTGCTGCTCCTCGGCCGCGCTCCTCCGCCTCGCCGCCGGCAACACCAGCCCGCCCGCCTGCACCCCCGGAGACAGGCCTTCCAGCCGGTGAAGCGACGCCTCCTCCGCCGCCTCCGCTTCGCCCATCTCCCCTCAAGACCGGGCCCGACGCTGGCCGGGCGCCGCCATTGCCCGACCCACAATGCCCCGCGACGGTAGGCGGGACTTCCGCCTCGGGGAGTGATTGCCAAGCCAGACCGGAAGAGACAGTCCCTGCTGGGTTGTTGGAGGTTTTTCCAGGCTATAGGGCCATGTTCTAGAGGCATTCTCTCCTGACTCTGGTCTTGTCCCACTCTGGTCTTTCCACAGATATAGAAACCCATTTTCCTAGTTCCAACAGACCTCACAACCTCTGAGGATGCTTGCCATAGATGCAGGTGAAACGTCAGGAGAAAATGCCTCTAAAACATGGCCATATAGCCTGAAAAAACCTACAACAACCCAGTCACCTAGCTCCAGCAGACAAGAGTCCTTTGTCCCACCCTGGTCTTTCCACAGATATAGAAACCTATGGGAAAAGGGTTTATATATCTGTGGAAAGACCAAAGTGGGACAAAGGACTCTTGTCTGCTGGAGCTAGGCGTGAATGTGTTGTTGTAGGTTTTTCCGGGCAATATGGCCACGTTCTAGAGGCATTCTCTCCTGACGTTTCGCCGAATGGGTTGTTGTAGGTTTTTCCAGGCTATATGGCCATGTTCTAGAGGCATTTTCTCCTGACGTTTCGCCTGCATCTATGGCAAGCATCCTCAGAGGTTGTGAGGTCTGTTGGAACTAGGAAAAATGGGTTTATATATCTGTGAAAAGACCAGGGTGGGGCAAAGAACTCTTGTCTGTTGGAGGTAGGTGTGAATGTTTCAACTGACCACCTTGATTAGCATTTAATGGCTTGGAAGTGCCTGGGGGAATCTTTCATTGAGAGGTGATTTGATGTGCCTGATTGTTTACTCTCTGTTGTTTTGCTGTTGTGATTTTTGAGTTTTTTAATACTGGAAATCAGAAGACGCTGACTTCTTGGGAGGAGAGCAAGAACCAATCTCGATAAAATAGTAAAGAGTAGAGACATCAGACTGGCAACAAAGATCCGCCTAGTCAAAGCCATGGTATTCCCTGTAGTAACCTACGGATGTGAGAGCTGGACCTTAGGGAAGGCTGAGCGAAGGAAGATCGATGCTTTTGAACTGTGGTGCTGGAGGAAAGTTCTGAGAGTGCCTTGGACAGCGAGAAGATCCAACCAGTCCATACTTCAAGAAATAAAGCCCGACTGCTCATTGGAGGGAAGGATAGTAGAGACAAAGTTGAAGTACTTTGGCCACATCATGAGGAGACAGCAAAGCATAGAGAAGACAATTATGCTGGGGAAAGTTTCTTCCTTTCTGTTGAAATTGTCCAATTTCAATGGCTTCTCTGTAAACAATCCGGGACATCAGATCACCTCTCAAAGAAAGATTCCCCCAGGCACTTCCAAGCCATTAAATGCTAATCAAGGTGGTCAGTTGAAACATTCACACCTAGCTCCAGCAGATTCAGAATGCTCTTTGATTGTAGGTGAACTATAAATCCCAGCAAATACAACTCCCAAATGACAAAATTTGTTTGTTTGTTTTTTTTTGAGTGAAGGACATAAATTGGGTTGTTAGGTGTATCTAGGTTCTTGTGGGTTTTTTCGGGCTATAGAGCCATGTTCTAGAGGCATTTCTCCTGACGTTTCGCCTGCATCTATGGCAAGCATCCTCAGAGGTTGAGAAGGTCTGTTGGAAGTAGGAACTTCCTACTTCCAACAGACCTTCTCAACCTCTAAGGATGCTTGCCATAGATGCAGGCGAAACGTCAGGAGAAATGCCTCTAGAACATGGCTCTATAGCCCGAAAAAACCCACAAGAACCTAGTGATTCCAGCCATGAAAGCCTTCGACATACAGTTGTTAGGTGTATCGTCTCCAAATTTGGTGTCAATTCCCCCAGTGGTTTTTGAGTTCTGTGAATATCACAAACAAACATTACATTTTTATTTATATAGACTGGAAATCCCAGCAACTACAACTCCCAAATGACAAACTCAATTTTTTTAAGTGATGGTCACTCCTTGGGTTAGTAGGTATCTTGTGGCCAAATTTGGGGGCAATTTGTCCAGTGGTTTTTGAGTTATGTTAATCCCACAAATGAACATTACATTTTTATTTATATAGAACAGTGTTTCTCAACCTTTCTAATGCCGCGACCCCTTAATACAGTTCCTTGTGCTGCGTTGACCCTCAACCATAACATTATTTTCATTGCTACTTCATAACTGTTATTTTGCTACTGTTGTGAATTGCAATGTAAATATCTGATATTCAGGATGTATTTTCATTCACTGGACCAAATTTGGCACAAATACCCATTAAGCCCATCCCCATCAGTATCCAAATTTGGGCATATTGGGTATTTGTGCCAAATTTGGATACTGATGGGGATGGGGGGATTGATTTTGTTCTTTGGGAGTTGTAGTTGCTGGGGTTTACAGTTAACCTACAATCAAAGAGCATTTCAAACTCCACCAACAATGGAATTGAACCAAACTTGGCACACAGAACTCCCATGACCAACAGAAAATACTCAAAGGGTTGGTGGGCATTGACCTTGAGTTTGGGAGTTGTAGTTCACCTACATCCAGAGAGAACTGTGGACTCAAACCATGATGGATTGTTTGCGTCCACAAACTTGGCACGAATCCTCAACATGCCCAAATGTGAACACTGGTGGAGTTTGGGGAAAATAGACCTTGATATTTGTGAGTTGTAGTTGCTGGGATTTATAGTTCACCTACAATCAAAGAGCATTCTGAACCTCACCAACAATAGAATTGGGCCAAACTTCCCACACAGAACCCACCATGACGAATGGAAAATACTTTCTGATGGTTTTTGGCGACCCCTCTGACAACCCCTCACAATCCCCCCCAGGGGTCCCGACCCCCAGGTTGATATAGAAGATGGGGCAGCTCTACCCTGTCTCCTGCATAAGGTCATCAGCTGGGGATCCCTCCCCCAGCACCAACTGCCGGTCTGGGCCAGAGTGAAGAGGGGGGGAGGGGGGCAGAGGACAGTTCCATTTTGTCTCCTGCGCTATGCTATTAATATAATGTAATGTAATGTATATACATATATTTATCATATTATAATGTAGAGCAATATACTAATAATATGATATTATAATTATATATTTATATTACATGAAATATTACTAATAATATTACAATATAATGGTATAGTACAATGTAGTAACATTTAATGCTGATATTGTACTATGGTAGTAATATGATATATTGTATGTGTATGTGTATGTATGTATGTATATGTGTGTGTGTGTGTGTGTGTGTGTGTGTATATATATATATTGTAAGCCGCTCTGAGTCCCCTTCGGGGTGAGAAGGGCGGCATATAAATGTCGTAAATAAATAAATGTATATTTGTATGTTTTAAGCTGTAATGTTTTTTATTGTGAGGCACTTTTACCCTCTGTATGGAGAGATAAAGTGGGATCAAAATAAATAAATAATAGATAATTATTGTGTGGGGATAAATCAGGCATGGGCCCTCCCTCCAGGTGTTTTGGACTTCAACTCCCACAATTCCTAACAGCTTACCAAGTTGACACATGCGTGGGATAAAATCACGATGGCAGTAATGATGATGTGGTCTTATGCACTGAATGAAGGGAAGCCAGAGGTGGGTCATCTTCCTGCCCCTGTTTCTGAGCTCCAGAAACAATGCTTAGCAATGGGGCCATTCAACCAACCATCACACCATGTTTGAACCAAGAGGCAAGGCCTTTATTGAAACGTTCACCAAACTGAATGGCCTGAAGGAGAGAGTCTGCCTTTGGGGACAAGGAAGTGCTGGCCTCTGCAGAGGATAGTGCCTTCCCTCCAAATATCCTGTTCCAAGGCTTCTGGCTGCAGCACAGCCCCACTGTCCCCATTGAGGCTGCCAAACAGGGAGAGGAGGCATCGACAGGGCTGAATGGATGGCTCCTCCTGAACCTGACTGCCTCCATGCTGAAGAGACATAGATTCCTCTGCCCCTTGTGCTCCCCCCATGATCTCTGATCAACAATGCAAAGTCCAGTCTGCTTAGCTGAGTCAATCTTGTTCTGAGCTTTGAGTGTCAGGTTGCAGGGCTCCCACTTGGGATAGGATGCCAAAGGAGAGGATGTCCGTTTCTTCCACTGCACAGGTGCTTCCGCAGAATGGGGAGCAGCCAATCCGCCAGCTTCAGAAGTCCCCGCTGGGCATCTGAGGCAAAGGGCCTCCCTGGGTCCACAGTAAGGTCTCAGCAAGGCTCCTCAGAGGAGGTGGTCCGCGCCCACGGCCTCCTGGACACTCTGGAATCCCTGTTCCCTGGGGAAAGAAGAAGGAACAGGGGCTGAGCCAAAGCTGGCCTCCTCAACAGAGACTCAGCCCTGACAATCAGGAAAGGAGGAGGGGACGTCAGCAGAAAAGCCAAGGCAGAGAGCAAAGGACTAGCTTGAGGGTGAGGCAGGGATGGGAAGCCAGGAGAGCAAAGGGTCAAGGCAAAGCAGGGACAGAAGCGGTTCTCTTTTCTGTGCTTCAACAGGGCCACTGGGGAGGACAAGGCCATAGAATTTGGGGGGAGGTTGAACCTCTCCATGGCTCTCTGCCCACATCCCACTCCTGTTGCTGCCTTCTGTGATCCTCATGCCTTCTCCACACCTCTTCTCTCAGAAATATTTTATTTATTTATTTACAGCATTTATATTCCACCCTTCTCACCCTGCAGGGGACTCAGGGTGTACAGTGTGTACAGTGTACATATATATGGCAAACATTCAATGCCAATTTTGACATACAACGTATACAGACATACACAGAGGCTATTTAATTTTAACTTTTTCTGGCCGCCAGGGGAGCTGTCTCTTTCATCATCCATCTGCGACACTGATGAAGTACTTCCGCATTCCCCGCATGCTTTTTTGCTGGAGTGCTTTGCTGGAGTCTTTTATGGCCTCATAAATTAGTTAATTTAGCCTCCCGACACAAGGTGGTACCTAATTTTCCTACTTGACAGATGCAACTGTCTTTCGGGTTGCAAAGGTCAAAAACAGGCTACACAATTGGTTGGAAACCCACTCCAACCCAGGCTGGCTTCGAACTCATGACCTTTTGGTCAGAGTGATCTTAATGCAGCGGACACTCAGCCAGCTGCGCCACAATCTCGGTGCAGTTAATATTAAAAATTAACTAGGTATTTTTAATTACACAAATATGAGTCAAGCACTGAAAGGGCTAAATGGATGCATTGACTCAGGAAAAGCTGCCGTTCAATATAAGTAACTCTCCCTGTAGCTTAGTAGCTCTCAGTCTGTGGGCTACAAAGTCAAGGGTGCTTTAAATGCAATTTTCCTGCTTCTTGGCAGGGGGTTGGACTGGATGGCCCATGAGGTCCCTTCCAACTCTATGATTCTAGGTCTCTGTAGGAGAAGGGCCCCAATATGAGAAGGCCTCAGTGTGAGAGAGGCATCAGTCTGAGAGAATCCTCAGTATGAGAAGGTTACAGTGGAAGAAAGGTCTCAGTATGAGGTAAGCCTCTGTTTGAGAAGGTCTGGTGTGAGAAGCTTCAGTGGAGAAGCTCCTAGTTGAAGGCCATTGTGTGTGAAAGATGCTGTGCATAAAAAGCTATTGTGTGAAGCTCCTGTGTAAGTTTGGTGTGAAATCAAAGCTGTTGATCTGCATGAGAAGGAAGCCCAGCATGGAAGTAAAGAAGGAAGTGTAAAGAACTTTATTTGTGTTATGGAAACTTTCTTCTTGTAAACAGTGCAATTATATTATTTTGCTATAAAGAAAAGCCTCTTATGGACGAGATAACATTGGTCTTTGTGTCTTTGTTCTTTTTATCACTTTAGGCTACTGGTGCTGGGCCACGCTGCTGCTAATAAGTTACTCTGTTGTGCATTAATGAGGAGGGTCTTTTGCTAATAAGCCCATTCACCCAACACCATCCACCTCGTGAGTCCCAAACTTCCTTCCCAGACCACAGCCAGGCCAAAAGCACCTAGCAGAAATGTGGGTCCCCCTTCTGCTCCTGCTCACCTCAAGAGTGCTGCCAGCTCCTGCTTCACGGCCCACACCACAGGTGGCCCCTGGTAGGCCAAGGCTGTGTAAAGCTGCACCAGGGAGGCCCCTGCCCGGATCTTCTCCAAGGCGTCCTGACCGCTGCAGATGCCTCCCACGCCAATGATGGGAACGCGTCCTGGGGGAGGGGGTAGAAGGAGGGAGCCTTGTGAGTGAGGCAGAGGAGGCCTCAAAGCACTGACACAAGCAGCCCCCCCCCCCCACCCAGCTCTCACAGCTTACCTTTGGTGAGGGCATACATCTCGCGGACTGTCTCAGTGGACAGCGGGCGCAAAGGGGGCCCACTCAAGCCACCCACCTCATCACGATGGGCCCCACGCAGGGAGTCTGGCCGGCTTACAGTGGTGTTGGTGACCACCAGTCCGTCAACACCCAGCTGGGAAAAAGGACCAGAGCACCATTAGAGGGGTCCATCTCCTCTGCAATCTCCAGTCATGCACAGCGGGGCCTCAAAACCCCTTTAGAACCACACAGGCACATCCTGCATGACCCATAAAGGCTCTGAGGAAAGGAAGAAGTGCTGAGGCCATCGCCACGCTTGAGCCCATCACCTCGCAGACGACACTGGCAATGTCCCGCTTCTCTTGGGTCGTGAGGTCTGGCGCGATTTTCACCAAGACAGCCGGCTTGGGCTCCGCAGGAAGGGCATCTCTCTCAGCCAGCACCTGGGGAGGGAAGAAAGGTGCTGGGTTTCATCCCTGGACTGCACAAGTCGCTTGTGTCATCAGGCTTCCAGACCTCAGTGAGTAGCTAGACTAGAGATAGGATTAGGGTGAGGGATTCCTTCCCCATATTCCTATGCATGTTTACCAAAAAGGGCTTTGTCTTTCCTCCTCCTCCTTGCCACTGTCTCTTCCCGCTTTGAAGATATGCAATGGGATCTCTGTGAGGGAACTTCCTTTTCATTGTTCTGGGCTGGCCATGTGATCTTTTCGCCACCATTGTCTCTTCTGCCTTTCTTTCCTACCAGTAAGGATGCACATTTTGCCTCTCTCTTTAGGCAAAATGTAGCTGCATGGATTTTTTTCCCTTTTATTCCTTTAGAAGATGAGACTTAGTAAGCTAGTGAGCTCCAAGACGTTTTCTATCTAGAATGAATTCTTTTACTTCAATAAATATTTTTGAACCTTAAGATCTGACTCTGCAATCCTGTGCCATCCTAAGCTACAGAAGCTTATCCCATCTCATCACATGTAAGTTTCTGCTGGTTTTGAACTTTGCTTCTGGTACTCTGCTATATTTATGGTAGAATCACCCCAACTGAAGGTTATATTTGAGCCTCACAGCTAAGATTCGCAAACAAAGGACATGCAGGAGCTGGGGGGGGGGGTCAATGGTGTCGGAAGCATGGTGCCCGCTTCACATTGCCTGGTCAATCCCTCCACCTCCCCAGCACACCCCTTTGCCAAACCCAGGAGCCAGGGAAACCCTTTGAGAACAGAGGAGATCCAGAGAGTCAGGAGGGAGACCAGGGAGTTGGGAAGAGGGGGTTGCCCTGCCAGGAAGGGGCTCCCTCTCTTGTGGGACGCAGCCTCGTGGACCCCTGTAGCCCCTCAGCTGGGAGACAGAGCAGCAAAGAAGGAGACCACCCCAAAGGCCCAGCGAGAGCCCACCTTGCCCAGTAGAAGGCGCAGCTCAGCTTTTCCCTGCAGGGTCCGCAGACCGGGTGTGTTGGGGCTGGAAACGTTCACCACCAGGTAGTCAGCCAGTGGGCCCAACATCTGAACTCCTGCTACATAGTCTGCAGAGGCATCCACTGAAGACTTGTTCTTGCCAAGGTTGATCCCGAGAAGCATGCCCTCTAGGGAGAGAGTGAGAGAGCAGAGCGCTGCTCAGAAGGGCCGGAATAGGATAGCAGAGGAGGGTTCCGGGAGTGCAGCGTCATCCTAGAACCAGGAGGCCAGTCAAAGAAAGGGAGCCAACCCCACTCCCCCAGGCTACCCTTGGACGCGGAAGGCTGTCATCCAGGCCACCTGCCTCCTCCTTTGCTGCCCCCTCACCTTTCCGGAGGTGACACTGGGTCTCCTGTCGAGCTTTTAGGCGCTGCTGCACAGCCACATGGCCCTGGCTGTTGAAGCCGTACCTGGAGGGTAACAGGATGGTGGGTGAGAGGGGGACCCAAGGGGCAGCCCCCTCTATGCGCACCCCTCTCTACCTGTGCCCCACCTGTTGATGATGGCCTGGTCCTGGTCGAGGCGGAAGACCCTGGGGCGTGGATTACCCTCCTGAGGTTGCGGGGTAACGCTGCCCACCTCCACGAAGCCGAAGCCCAGACCAAAGAGGCCATCCACTGCCTCCCCGTCCTTGTCGAAGCCGGCCGCCAGACCAAGGGGGTTCCGGAAGCACCGCCCAAAGACCCTTGCCTCCTAAAACCAAGAAGTAGAGAGGAGGAGATGAGCGCTGCAGGATATGAACTCCAGACCAATTCTGGGATGAACAGTCTAAGCCTGCTCCCCACCCCTCGGCCAGTGACCAACCAAGGTGCTGGGGCCCCCTTCTGCCTCCCACTCCTCCTTCCGGAGCCGCAGGGGCCGGAGCCCAAGGGCCAAGAAGCGGAGGGCCAGGGTGTGGGAGGTCTCGGGGCCCAGGGCCCACTGCAGGGCCGGCATCAACTGTCCCGTATAGAAGTCCCGGTCCCCAGTCGCTGCCAGATATGAGGCCAAAAGCACACCACCACCGCCCAGTACCACCGAGGCCTCCTTCAGCCGACGCTGTGGTGAAAGAGAAAGAAAAAGACAAAGTAGAGGAAGGGGTCAGCAAGAAGGTCTGTGTTATAGTTGTGCCATTGTTAGGATCCCACATGTGCTATAATGTCAATCAAAATCATAAACAACCAATGAACAACTGTATACCTAGTTTAGACCAATGAAATGATTTGTCTTTGTATATTCCATTTACTACCAAAGTGATAAAAAACCTGCAGCCCCATTGGGGGTTACAACAAACTCTTTGGTTGCATTCCTGTATGCTTGTTTGTCGTTATTCCTATGGCCATGCAACAAATAATTTTTGAAGTTTAAAAGATTCAACTTTTAACAAATATGGATTAACAATTTTAATGTGTTTAAATAACACAAAGTAATATATTCTAGTAATAAAACAAATATTTATCATGAAACTAAAATATGCAAAGTGGTTTTCAAGGACCACAGAAGTTATTTGTTTGGAGTTAAATAAAGCTTGCATTAAAAATCTTTCACTTGCATCACTTCTTTAATTATTTAACAAGTAGTCCATATTTCATAGAATCATAGAGTTGGAATAGACTTCATGGGCCATCCAGTCCAACCCCATTCTGCCAAGAAGCAGAAAAAATTGCATTCAAAGCACCCCCGACAGATGGCCATCCAGCCACTGTTTAAAAGCTTCCAAAGAAGGAGACACCACCACACTCTGGGGCAGAGAGTTCCACTGCTGAACGACACTCACATTCAGGAAGTTCTCCCAAATGTTCAGGTGGAATCTCCTTTCTTGTAGTTTGAAGCCATTGTTCTGCGTCCAAGTCTCCAGGGCAGAAGAAAACAAACTTGCTCCCTCATCCCCATGATTTCCCCTCACATATTTATACATGGTTATCATGTCTCCTCTCAGCCTTCTCAGCTACCCCTCTATTCCGCCTTGGGTT